CTAACCCTAACCCTAACCGTATCAAATAGTGACCAGGGTACGTTCCGGTATACCGGACCGTACCCAGGGTACGTTTCGGCAGCACCCTGGGGGACATAGACCCTATGAGCGTCACTGTCGCTGATCTGGATCTGGATAGTTTACTGCGTAGCCCACGGTTACGTGGATAATAACACCACAGGCACTTGAAGCGTATCAACTGTAAACACACGCCGCCGCCATTGCGCGTACACTTACACATAAATATATAGTAATGTGTAAGTGTAAGTGTGTGCGTAGTGTAAGTGTAAGTGTAAGTGTAGTTATAAATATAACTATATATTTATGTGTAAGTGTACGCGCAATGGCGGCGGCGTGTGTTTACAGTTGATACGCTTCAAGTGCCTGTGAATAACACAGGGAAGTGTGCGCTTAGATGTTGTCGTCAGCGGCAGTGGAACAGATAAGGTCTATCTCGGCCTCAGTACGCTGGTTCCACTGTTGAATAGTTCTCGGAAAGAAGGAATGGCGAAACTCTTCGGTGTTGACTCGCACTGTTTGAAGTTTCTGACTGTTCTTACTGCGTGTTCGCTGGGGTCCAGGTTTGGTATACTGATCTGCTGGTACTGTAGAGCGTAGTTTATATGTTACAGTTTAAAGTATAATAATCAAGAAGACGTATAGCATTTGTGTTCACTAAAAGAATATATTGTTTACAAACAATTCTGTCGCTCGTCAAGTCACGTCTTGTCTCGTTCCAGTCCCACAGTTCTCCCGTTCAACCGTCCTTCCACCCTTTATAAATGACTCTCTCGTCCAATCACAGCCCAGTTCTACTCCTTACTCCCACCAATCACACACCACTCTCTCCCTGATTCGAATATTGCGCGGGAAGACCATATGGTGAACATCTGTAAACTAACATCCGTGTAGAACCCCACCTAACTACTTCTCATCTGTATGCTAAACACCCAACCCTTCTCCTATGTACAACCAATCTATCTACGATTACTAATCCAATGTGACATCTGTACAACATATGTAAAATAGACGTTACAGTACCGCCACTGAAGGAGACATTATCTTCTTCATGAATGCTATGTGCTGATCGCTCCGCCGCTGAGCAAGAGAAGGCCAATTCAGAGTTCCTAGCATTTCAGTAACGCTACTGTTACGCCGGTAGTCTCTACATACGAACCTGACTGCCCTTCTCTGAACTTTTTCCAACTTATCAATGTTTTTGACCAGGAACGGATAAAAAAGGCGAATTATTGGGCGACATTTTTTACTGATTCTGACCATGTAACATTGAAATTCTAAAAAATATCTGTGCAGCACTCTTTATTAACATCTTGCCTACATCACAAAACGCTTGCACTACATTATCAGCTTCTTAAACACCTTTTCCCTCTTTTTATCTTGGAGAAATATCACAACATCAAATATGCAAAACTTCGTTAGAACAGAAATTGTAAACATTTAATGTTTGTTTCTATTTTGCTTGTGCTGTTCACCATCCAATTCCAATAAACTATCACTGGTCAGTGGCAGCAAAGGTGGCAGTGATTTGAATGTAAGTTTGCAGTTTCTGTGCAGATAGCAAACATCACAAGTTTGTGTCGCCAGTACATGTATTTGTATCTGAATTCATCCAATAAAGATATAATAATAATAAAGTTTACAATTTCTGTTCTGAAAAAGTTTTGAACATTTTATGTCGTAATATTTTTTACAAGATAAAGGGTGATAAAAGGTTTGAGAAGCTGATGATGCATGACAAGTTTTATGACGAAGGTAAGGTGTTATTAAATCAAGATTTATAGATATTTCTCAGAATTTCAATGTTACATGGTCATAAACACTGAAAAAGCTGTAACATAATTCTTCATCGTAGTAGTATCCTTATGATTGAGAGGATAGTCTTCACATGGGTCACTTAGAGTTAGAACATCCGGGGTTAGAATTGTAATCAATCCTGCATGTATTTTTTCAATTAGCTTTCAGGTTTAAAGAAACCAACGGTCAAGAATGAACGGCCATATCATTCCCAGAACACCAATCGCTGTTGATTACTGGAGAGTCAATGGAAGACAGAATCACTACATCCATTTCTGCACACATGTTCATTCTGATCACATCAGTGGACTGAACTCAACATGGAGAGGGAAAATTTATACATCAGCGCTTAATGCCAAGTACGATCCAGTCTGGCTTTTATCATAATACGGTTGAAACGCTTTAGATTATGGAACCTGACAGGTCCCGGACCACAGGAAATGTCGGAACACAGAATATCTTCCTTAAAAGTTGTTCACATGTTTAAATCTATGTATATATAATGTTTAGATAATCGTAAATTTATACTTCAATTCTATTTAAGTTAATGATAATATGAAGTATCTATGCAATTTAGAACTTAACAAAAGAAGCCGTCTGTCAGATACGAGGTCTACGGTCGGGTAAAGCTTGCTAATAAATAACATTTATGACTATGTACATTAGTAGCACTTCCAATATAAGTACGCACATTGTGTTTGTCTTTTGATTTTTAGGCTTCTTTGTCATATTACTGGAGTGAAGTCCTCTCTTATCGTCGCACTTGAAGACAAGGAAAGCTACGTTATCCCAATAGACGATGCAGGCCTTGAAACGCTCACAGTTTCAGTGATACCAGCAAATCATATTCAAGGAGCTGTGATGTTTTTATTTGATGGCTACTTTGGACGTATTCTCTATACTGGTAACAGCAGATATATAGTATAATACTTATTCATAGTATATTATTCTCTTTCTTGTGTACATTCATGATTAGTTACGAAGATTATGTGTTACGTGTTCACAAGTAAAGTGTTAAATGTGTATGCCCACAGTCTTGCTGAACATACCTTCAGTACATCTAAATACTGAATTCTCATCGTTGCATTTCAATGCCATATATTTATGCCTAATTCATGCAGACGTTGACTCTTCAACTAGTTTAATCATTCGTAATGATTTTATTTAAATGTATAGGGGATTTTAGATATATGCCAGGAATCCTTGATGATGTAGACCTGAGAGATATTGATATTCTTTACCTGGACAACACATACTGCGATCCAGCATGTGTATTTCCTACTCGACAAGCTTCGATTGAAGAAATAATTGATATCATACAACAGCACCCTGATCATGAGGTATGTTAGGTGTAAATGAATTTATGATATTATTATCAATATTATTTTATTGTAACTAGCAATATCCCATATTACCTGTGTTCATATAGGCTATTCTGAAGTTTTAAATTGTGAGCTCATTAAATTTTGTGTAATTATCTGTTCTTAAGCTAATGAGTTGATTATTCTGAAATATTCAGGCAACATACTACCATGGTTGTCATAGCTGGCTATAATATAAATTACATGGCATCGAATATTTGTTTCTGTGATGGCAACGGCAAACTTGCATCAATAAGTAACGGTTGTCACGCAGCATGTTACTAGTCTGGGCTAGTCATTTGTTTGTCGTGAGAATAAATATTTTATGACAAACACTAACTTATAATTAATGATAGCAGGACAAAATAGTGTAGCATTTCCTGTCGCTATTACATGTATAGTTGTGCATAGCATCTGACGAAGGAATTTAGTATATAAGTGTGATGTAGAGTCTACCAGTAATGATATTAGTTAGTAAGTTTTTTAATTGTAAAATATTAAATTTTCCGTATAACCATGAACGTTTATGCATTTCTTTCAATGGAAGCTTTGTCAGAGTTAACTTCTTCTAGGCCATTACTACTAACAAGGGTGTTGCATTACCACTATAGGCTCATCTAACACTATTGCACTGTAGTGCCCTTCATTTCCCATGTGAACATCACTGTTGAACGGAGTTTGTGGTTATCAATTCTTAGGTTGTGATAGCCGTGGACAACGTTGGCAAAGAAGATATTCTGGTACACGTTGCTAATGAACTGAATGAGTACATCTCTATAGAGGCTAACCACATGGAATTACTGGAACTACAACAGGTGGGTTGGCTCAAGTGTGCTCAACCATGTTCTTTGTCATATTACAAGCATCACTTCAATTGTAAAAACTCATTGTAGAATGAGTTTGATACTTTGAGATGAAGGGCTTAAAAGTGTTAATTCAATAATAAAATGGTGAACAGATGGAAAACCTTTTTGAAAGAAGGCTTATTAAGTGACAACAGCATGGTAATTGCAATTATACTGGAATCACACATGCATGCACGTACACACACACGTGTATATACGGGTATTTATTTATTAGTTGGCGTTCGGTCACAATTATCAACATTTTCACAAGCGTACAAACCGTACGCTGGGGGGGAAGGGATCAATGCCCGTCGTACGCTTTCAGCATTTCCGAAAAATGTCAATCCATTTCCCGCGCCGCGCCCCCCAACCGGCATCACGCGCATCCTCACACCGCGACGCGCCGAGCCCCGGCCGGCCCGCGCCCCGCACGGGCCTGCTGAACGAACAAATCGAGCTAGCTAGCTAGCAGCGAGTGCAGTGTAAACAACCGGCACGATGGCAGTTTTGCATGTAATTCATATACATGTATCTCTATGTAGAATGGTGTGAAAAAAAATCAACATTTTTCTTTGTACACTTTTAGGGGGGGGGGGGCTCGAAAAAGTGTACGCTTTGTACGCTTGTGAAAATGTTGATAATTGTGAATGACTCCTTAGTGTTTTTTGCTATTTTGCTCTAGGTGCCAGATGTCTTTACTATGGAACCAGCTCGCATTACTGCTAGGCACCTTTCGAAGGTGACAAGTAAAATGGTCGCTGCCCTGAACAAAGTCGCACCGACGATTGCAATACTGCCAACAGCTCGCTATTGCGGTCTTGATTCGGAGGCCTACACCAAAAACAAAAGCATGTTCCTCGTACCCTACTCGAACCATTCGTCATATGCCGAGCTGAGCGAATTTGTTTCCCTCGTTAGGCCAGCGTCGATAATCCCAGTCGTGGCCCCGTCCCTGTCGCGCAGAATGTTCGGGATGGATGTGAATAGGCGTGCCGACATGTCGTGCTTTCGGAAACTCGTGCGCGTGGAAACGCGGCCGCAAGTCGTCGCTGCCACGCCGCCGTCCGTCAAAAGGTACATGAAGATAGGAGCCTGCAGGCACACTAACGGGCAAACGTCGGCCAAGCGCGCTCGTCGACGTACGACGAAGGTCGTTCGTAGGTCCAACGCGAAGGGCGTGCGTTTCGTTTGCGAAAGCATCGACAGCGTGGTGGAGAACGGTTCTGTCGATGGCGGAGACTCGTTTCGAAACAAGGTAGCATCAGCGGCGGCTGAGAATCACCGCGGCGACTGTGGTAACGACGTGCGGCTAACGAGTGACGCTCAGGACCCGAGCAAAATTGTGAATGATCGGTTACTTCCCCAGCGGTTGCCGATAGATGGGGATGGACCAGATTTTACAACTGCAGAGGAGGAGATGGAAGTCACTGCTAGCCACTGTTTGGGAGAAAACAAATCGGTTGAAGTATCGCAGTCAGACTGGGATAGTCATGTACTACAAGTGAATAGCAATCCACATGCGAGGACCTTGTCAGAATATTTTTCGGTGGAAAATCGGTGGCGAATGTCAGCAAGGTTAATTCAAGCCACCAGCGCTCAAAGCACGCGTGCATGTGATCGGAACTGTAACAGCTACTGTAATCTTCCTAATGGAAAAGCTCTAGAAATAGAAAGAGAGTTTTTGAGGGGCTTTAACTGGATTAGCATAATGAACGAGGGCGTGTTATCTAACAAGTAACATGGTGCGTTCTGTGCTATCGTTTTACAACACAGCATTATGCAACTTTGAATAGTTATATTTTTTATATGATCCTTTGTATATAGGTTATTATCACAATGCTAACAGTGGGCAGGCGCTGGTACCACACAGTGTGCACGTGATAACGGTGGAAGATTCCAGTATGTATTTTCTCTGGAGAAGAATTTTTGTGTGTGGCAATGCTGTGAAATATCAATTCCTGCATTCTAGGCATCACTAAGTATGTACAAAATTTGGATTTTTGTACATATTCTTGTACGTGTTCACCAATATGAAGCTGCACCATTACTGCTTTCCAACTTATGCTTATGTGATTCTTCGCTAGGGGGTTTGGGTTATTGTCCGGGGAATGTTTGAGCACCCTGTGTGAAATAATGCAATTTCTCGCACTCTAGGCAGTGAATACTGCTCCAGAACGTTCGTATTTCGTGCCAGTTTTGTACAAATAAAATGAGAAAAACTTGTCACGAGCCAGTTTACTTGCTGTTTTCAAACTAAAGTTATCATGCACCTGAATGGGAATATCATGGACTGCTAAACGTGCATGAACACTGGTATCTCACGTTATTGTAACCCTGATTAGGTATGTTCGCCCAGACATAGTTTGTAAATTATGACCGCTAACCTTGCGTATTCAAATTACCTTTTAATTAGTGCATGCCTACACTCCAGAAGTCAATGTGAACCTGTGCTCGGTAATATATATAGAAACATCTATTGATTCAGCGTAGGGATTTAGGACTGCAAGCCCACTTTCGGCCCAGCCCTCCTCGGGAGAATTCCTACTTCAATTCTTTGTGTAAGAAACACTGTTAGGCGCTCGATTGCTGCGCGCATAGGTCCCTCAGAAATTTAACAGCTTTTATTTAATAAATCACGATAGTTTTCATTTTATAGCTCACCTTTTATGAAAAAAGTTCATCTAATCTAACTTCCCCGTTTAAAAAAAAACATGCCCGTATCTCAACATTTTTACGGACCGAGACCCTGTGTGAAGTTGCCGTTACTCGAATACAACAACGCCGCGATGCGTGCCAGTTTCTACTGAACGTGCTTCCCACACGCTGAAACCATATTTCTGTCAACGTTTAGTATCTCTGTCGACGTGCGTCGATATATGCATGCACTCGCATGCTTCCGGCACTTATTGGGCCCCGATATCACGAAGCCATGCAGCAGAACGTATGAAGATCACGTACTCACTTGGTGAGTATGCCAAGGGTCAAGTTGTCATTGCACGTGTGTTGAGAGTGCACGCAACGATACTCGATTCGTCACACTTCCAATGTTAACGCCTACAGCAAAATATTTTTACGGACAATGCACATATTGAAAATGATTCTCGGAGTCTCAAAAATCATTAGCCGCGTATTTGGAGACTTGCGAAACTGGACGCCATCAGGCGGGTTCATATATACAGGGTTTAATCGATCAAATACGCGCGACTGGGGCTAATATTGACCGATGGCTCGTGGGAAATCCATACACACGCCCTCACATATAGAACTTTGGTGTTTATAGTCTATTATCTGTGCTTGTTTAGCAATATTGTGCGCATAAGCGATTACATAGAGGTGGCCTAGCTCCTGTGTATATCTTTATTTGCCTAACCATGCTCCTAAATATTGTGCAAATTAAGCGTTTAGATAGCATTTTTCGTATTAAACTACTGGGTACGTGCTCTCTACTGTAAATGTTACATATGTCAACAATAGATAATAGATACCATTATTTGGTTAGCCAGTGTAGACGTCAAGTTGCGTTGATAACGCCTTTGTGGTAAAAGATCTAACCGTGCTATACTATTATGATTATTCCTGGTGGGATTCTCGTCGGTGCGTCCATGCAGTCTGCTTTGGTTGCTCGATTTTCAACTTTGAACAAATTTGACAAATTTTGTCATTATTAGCTCCTGGTATAATATACCTACTTAATTGCTCCCGTGAATTTTGCAGTCTTGATCCGTTGAATGTATATAGTAATAGTAGTTAGAATACCTTCCGCTACGTTGCAAAATTAAGGAATACACCCAGATATTATACGATGAAGTTAGAAAAAGATTCGTGTCCAAAGTTGCGCATCAGATAGATAATTGTTACTGTAAAATGTAGACAACGACAACAACATTCGCACACTCACAGGCGCGTATGTGCATTCGCCACCATGACTATATAGAATAGAAACTGACGCGATAAAACACTCACGCGCCATACACAGGCCCCCAAACAATTCTCAGTGACATCCAGGCGCGTCACGATTTAGAATGTACACACACACACACACACACACACACACGCACGCACGCACGCGCGCCCATACGCACACGCACACTCACATTTCATATGCGTATTTCATACGTAATTAAAATTATTCATATGCCACCAGGTTTAATTTTAACATATCCAACCTTATGAATAGGATTGTGCTATCGCATG